TTACAGTGACACCTAATGATATTGCTTACATCATATTTACAAGTGGTTCAACTGGAATACCAAAAGCGGTAAGTTAACATGAGGATTTCTATCCCCCGTTTCTATTCTTCTCCTTTCTAACAGGTCCAAGTTCGTCATGAAAATTTCACTCGTTATATGCACTCATTTGTGAGTGTTAGCACATTGAAGAAGGATGATGTAGCTATCCAAATGGCTCGAAGTACGTTTGATGTTCATCTTCAACAAATAGTTGGTGTTTTATTAATTGGCGGTACATTGGTTATACTACGTGCAAGAGGAGTAACTGATTTTGATTATCTAGCTGATGTTTTATACAAAAAACAGATTACATATTTGAATACCGCACCAGTTTTATTTCAAAGTTTTTTCATATTCCTTGGTCAGTGTAAGAAAACATATGCTGTGAAGTATCTTCGAGCACTTTGTAGTGGAGGTGAGTGAAAATAAATGATTTTCGTGATTTCCTTCACACTGCATTTTTGTGTCGATAGGCGAAGCATTCGCTTCCAAACTGATTGATCTGATCCAAGAAAGCAATATTCCTAATTATACTTTATGGAATTTATATGGTCCTGCTGAAACGACGATTACATCTACATTTCATCTCGTAGATATAAAAGCTTCTACAAAGTGTATTCCAATTGGGAGATCGCTTTCTAACTATAAATGTTTGATTTTAAATGAATTCTTACAAAATACATCTGTTAATCAAGAAGGAGAATTATTTATTGGAGGTGTTGGTGTCTTTGCTGGATATCTTGGTCGTGATGATTTAACTACAAAAGCTCTGGTTGACATAGATGATACACTATTTTATCGAACTGGTGATCTCGTTACAATGGATAACAATGGTCTTCTTCACTATCAAGGAAGAAAAGATCATCAAATCAAACTACATGGACAAAGAATTGAACTTGGTGAAATCGAACGATGTTTACTTAACAACACATCCATCTCTGCTTGTGTTGTCATGAAATGGAATGATGATTATCTGGTTGCTTATGTTCAGTCTTCTTCTAATATGAATGAAGAAGAACTACGTGAACATTGTCAATCTCATCTTCCACCACATATGGTTCCATCGATATATATTATACTTGAGAAACTACCTTTGAATCAAAATGGAAAAGTAGACAGAAAACAACTTCCGTCACCCGACTTTTCTTTATCAACTTTATTATCGTCCGATAAATCTGATACTCCTCTTAATCAGCTCGAAGAACGTATACACACTATTTGGTGTCAATTTCTTCATTCTAATGAAAGTCGCATTTCTAGAAATACCAGTTTTTTTAGTGTTGGTGGTCATTCACTTCGCTTCATTGAACTCTATTATCGTTATCAATCATTATTCAACTTCGATGCTCGTTCACTCTCAATTGGCCTCTTTCTTCAGCAACCAACTATTCGACAACATGCACAACTGCTTGAAACACTTCCCTTCAATGATATCCAGACAACACGATGGCAATCACTACATAACAATGAAGGTAAAACTTATTTAAATTAAGAAAAATTCATCAAATATATAAACTCACTGATCTTTCTTGTAGACATTACTTCTTTTGCTCAAGAGGGCATCTTTCTCGAAGAACAAATTCAAATTTTACATGAAACTGCTACCCATTCAAATTTTTTCGAGCATCCGTGTGTTGTGATCAATGAAACTTGCGATAATATTTTGTTCATTTTGCCACCTGGTGACGGTGGTGCCGAAAGCTACTTCAATAACATCGCACATCATTTATCGCAATATAAACTGGTAATATTCAACAATTACTATCTTGATTTTAAAGCAAAAAATATGGACAAAGGCGTCTCGTTCGAGACATTAGCTCTTGTATACATAAAGTACATAAAAGAAATCCAACATGATGGTCCATATAACTTTCTAGGCTGGAGTTTTGGCGGCACCTTATCGTTTGAACTTTCTCGCCAATTGATTAATGCTGGCGAGAAAGTTGATAATATTTTTATGATCGACTCATACTTTAATACACGCAAGGCTTCTTTCGAAATTAATAAAATAGATAAAGTGGATATCGTCGATCCAATAAATTATTCTTATTTACCGATGATAGACAATGAACCATTTGAATTAAACATAACCAACAGAAATACAAACATTGTATTATTTAAAGCTAACAAGGTGGATGAAAACTTTACATTAAACAATCAGTTAGAATTATTTTCATATTACACCAATACATCATTTAATAATCTTGACACATTAGTGAATCATGAATATATTCAGTTATTTCAAATGTATGGGGATAGCCATTTCTCTTGGTTATTTAATGAAAAGCAAATCTTCAACATATGCAATTATGTAGCGAGTCTATTAAAATAAATACCAGAGATTAAATACGGTAATTTAGTAATCAATTACCTTACAACAAAAGAAAGAAAATTTTCATTTTATTTTAGTTTTGTTTGCTTTTAAATGTATTATTTTGGAATCATCAATATATACTTTCTTGAACAGGCAATAATCATTTTAGTTTGATTTTTCTAGTTTATCTTATTTTTTGTTAGTTCTTTTTAATTATTATTAGAAATCTAATAAATATCAATATTATCACTTGTGAGACGTCATAAACAAGATTAAATAAAAATAAATGAAATACGTGCACTGTATCACATAATATTAAAGAACTACTGTTCATTCTGATTTTACCGTATTGATAGTACCGCTATCTTTCTTCTTATTATTAAATTTTAATTTAAAAAAGGCATATATTTTTGCTCAGTATTTTTTCCATTTCGTGTTCAGTACGTTTTGCTCAGTGAAGTATTATTTTCTGCATATTATATAATTTGAATAGTACAGTAATCAATTCTGGAAAACTCAGTAGGGTGTGGGTGTGTGTATATCTTATTCATATCTAAACCCACACTTTCTATTCTATAATAATTGTGAATGTTGAGAAATCTGTGAAAACCTTAAAATCATCATTCTGTAGTCGAGTGAACCTCGAATACCGTCTAGTTTTCAAAATGTTTCTCTATAAAATGTACCTCGCTTTTTATAAAATAATAACGACAAGACTCAAACTCTTTCTTTTGCAGAACACATTGGATCTCCAGCTGTATTCGTAATTGATATATTTGAGAAGGCTGTTAAATGCTAAACGGAATGTACTATTCACTTTTTTTCGTGTACAACGACTCATTAAAAATCATGGACTTTTATCTTCACCCTCTCTTTTTTAGCGAGGTGAAATTTTCTTGTGGTAGTAAGATACATATTAGGGAAATGAAGAAAAAATACGATTCACTTAAATATATTTTTATTTATTCTTTATTGAAAAAAAAAATGATCAGACAATAACGTCTTGTCTTTACATCCGATCTGAAACGTTA